GGGTCCAGATAATTTCTTATAACTCTTCTGATAAGGAAAGGTACAGTTGATATTGTGAGTTTTTATATGATGGTTGAGAGTTACAGTTAGTTAAACATCTGGAGAGTTAATAAAAATACCAGGGTGAGCTCTGCATACTGTCAGGCTTAAGTGGTCACACCATTATACCATAAGGAAACACCATAATTGTATGGATGTATAATGCTAGTAAGGTATGACTTCTCAACATAAAGCATCCAACTACACAACCAAAACAACATAGCAGTTCCTCTGAAAATTACAAGTCCAAATAGATATTCATACTGTACTATTTGTAGTTGCTTCTCATGAAATTTTGTGCCTTTGGGTTGCTCATTGATGAAATTGTCTTTTGAAGTGGTTTCACTAATGAACTTTGAAAAGCTTGTGTGTGTTCAGGGAATGAACAAAATTGACCTCAGTTTCTTACACAAAAGCCTCAGACAGTGGGAATTGCACTGTATCACTGTAGTGTATAGTCACAGTCATTACAGAGAATGCTATTGATGATGGAAAAGGGGTTAATAATGGTTGGAGATGGCTTGAATGGGTAATGAATATATCCGTGTCAGTGTACATTACTTGCACCTGATGATGACAAAAACAGTCATTACAGAGAATGCTATTGATGATGGAAAAGGGGTTAATAATGGTTGGAGATGGCTTGAATGGGTAATGAATATATCCGTGTCAGTGTACATTACTTGCACCTGATGATGACAAAAACAGTCATTACAGAGAATGCTATTGATGATGGAAAAGGGGTTAATAATGGTTGGAGATGGCTTGAATGGGTAATGAATATATCCGTGTCAGTGTACATTACTTGTACCTGATGATGACGAAACCTTGTCGAAACATTGTACATTTGCTGTTATGTTAAACTTACATTAAAGTTTTTCTTCATTACCCATTCAAGCCATCTCCAACCATTATTAGTCTCAAAGTGGGTTCCTTGTCATCGAATTGGAAAAGGGGTTGTATCGTTTAGGCACACGACTTGTATCATTAGTATAGGTTGTGAAAATGTAGAAAATACCACTGTGCAAGTGTTTATATTTTTAACCATTAACGAATATAGAATCACAAATAACTTCAAAATTAAAGTTTCAAAATGTAATATCTTTTTATGAAATCACTAATGTTTTTATTTTTTTATTAAGAGTTTGAAAATTGCAGAGAATATTCAGATCTGTTACTGAAAAACTTGCACAGACTTAGAGAGTTTTGGAACCCAATGGGTATTAAGTAAACAAATACATGGTAACTAATGTCTCAGCTGACGCAGCATCAACACATTGCTGATACACATAAAACATGGCTCATCAAACAACCTGCAAGGCACAAAACCTACAACAAATACATGGTAACTAATGTCTCAGCTGAAGACACTAGACATTGTCTCCATTATTTTAACACAGGTGAAAGTGTCCAATGATCATTTTGAATGCAACAAATCTATTGGCTGGGTTTGGGGGTTGTACATGTTCTCAGGTGCATTCTGAGTCATTTCAGACAACTTTCAGAATCAAATTTTAACTTCATTTAATAGTAAAAAAGGAAATCAGAAATCATTCACAACTCTTCATGTTACCAGATGGACCAACCGGATAATCACACGAGGCTATTTAACCTCTTTAAAAGTTAATAATCGAACTTTACATGTAGACCTAATTAATTTTTGGAAATCCTACTTGCACATAAAAAATTTCACTGAATAAACCAAGAATGACCCTTTCCTTGTAAAAATGAAAATTAATAGATGTTTAGGCCAATAAAAATTAGAACAATCCTGGCATCAAAACAGAAAATGTGTTTACTTCACCTTAATTTAAAATCATGCTTTCTAATTATGACTGCAAAATGCAATTTTGATAGATTTTCGTCTACAGACAGAGAAATTTCATGCATGCTTTAATTACCAATATAAATGTTGAAATTGATTCTAGGTAGAAAGTTTTGTACGAGTGACTTATTAGTGGGTACTTCAGTAACTAAGTACCATTGAAAGTACCATTGTCTAGAGACAGAGAAATTTCCTGCATGCTTTAATTACCAATATAAATGTTGAAATTGATTCTAGGTAGAAAGTTTTGTACGAGTGACTTATTAGTGGGTACTTCAGTAATTGTAAGTGCCATTGAAAGTTACGTTAAATCTAAAACAATAAACATGATTAAATAGTACAGCATTTTGTGGAACCTTTTCATTATTCTTTTTATTCATAGACAAAAAAATATTCATTTATGTGTAAAAACGTTTTACTATTTTATATGTGTTTGAAATCGCCCGTGGTATTGCCCACATATTACAAGACAAACTTCTTTTTAATATACATGTTCAAAGATTATCAGGTACAAATGTTTTCTTACATTTCTTCCTGTTTCTATTATGGTTTAATCCTGACGTTAGCTGGTTTGTTAGTGGATCACTCAGACTTGACTGTGCTTCAGATGAAGTAGCATGCGTATCACAAACTGAGTACCTTGCCAACAAAGACGACAACACAGTAGTGTGCTTTCCATGATGACTTTTCTTCTTCTGTCTGCCACCTGTGAAGAATAAGTTGCATTTCAACTGTAAACTATATATATATAACTGATTTCTTTATTGAAGGAAAACAATTTTTTTAGGAAACTAATGTTGTTCGCAAGCTAACAATATTACAGAAAAGTAACATAAAACCTTACAAAACACTGCACATTCTAATAACAATCATAAAGAAAAACAGGTTAGATATGATGTTTTGAGTTTAAATTTTAGCAATTTTCATATACTCACATGATATGTACAGCTCTTTTTAATTTCTATGTTTGATTAGCAGACGGACTAAATGCCAGTTTTGTAATGTTCAAACTGTACACAAAATTGCTTCATATAAATTTAAATATGTTGAACCATAGCTTCTACTGACATTTTAACCTTAGAGAAAGAAAACAAAAATATATAACAAATGCTCATGCCAAAACATGCTGCATATACGAGATTGGATTATATCTCAAATTTCTAAGCTTTTAACATTCAAAGGTGACTTATTAAAGACATTAAAACAAATATGCCTAACAATATGTCCAGATAATGATTTTAAAACAATTTCATTGTATAAAAGAAAACAGGAATGTAAAAGTTAATTTCAATTGAGCAAAGCAACACAGAAATACTTCATTAACCCTATCTTGACAGGTTCTCCTATGGTCAGGGGTCAAAGGGCATGTTATTACATTTGTTAATCCAACATTTTTTGAACTACTATTTTATGAATGTATGTCAATAAGTTTAGTATCAAATTGTAAATTATAATTCAAATTTTAATATCATACATCAGTTAATTTCTTAATTCAAAAGTAAATATTAAAACAAAATTTCTAAATATTGATTTTTGTGTGTCACATGGAAATGTTGAATGCAGCTTTGGTTCAAATTAGATGTTTGCAATGTCCAAATACAAAGTCTATAGTTTCTTACAAATTAGAAACTCAAATGACTGATATTGACAAACTAGAATATAAAATAAGAACATCCTATCTTTTCTATTTTCTGAGATATTATTATATTTATTGAATCAATGAAGGTGCCCCCCACCTCTTCCATTTTTGTAAATGCTTATGTACAACTACTTTTTTTAATGACATGTGTATAACCTATCAAAAGCTCAGAATGTGCCCCCATGTGGTTTTCTCAGTCTTTGTGAAGTGTTTATGCAGGAAAACGTTCCTTTTCCTAGTAGAATTGAAGTGGAGCAGTAAGAGATAATGGAGCTCAAAATATCATATTTTTTTAGACCCACATACAGGTTAATTAATAAACCTGATAAATTCTAGTGGAATTCTGTGGTACTGATATAGCAATCTAGGATTTTTTGTTATTCCAAAATGCATAGTAAAACCTAAAAATATCTTGTTTTACGTCCTCCACACGTGAAATTTGAGAAGGCTTGCAAGTTACGGCAAGTACAAATTTCGTAAGTAGAAGATATCATTGTTTTCTATATTTCTTTATTTACTGTTCTAAGTTTAAGAAAAATAACTGAAACTTAAGAACGTATTTGTAAATACTAATAACATATATGTACATGTAATGTATTATAACTGAAATGTGACTGTATTTCACAAAATACTGATACATTAGAACAAAGCCAAGACAGGTTAAAGACCAGTTTTATACTATTGGATATGGTAACATGAGTGCATGTGCACCACATCATTGAAACTTTTGTAATGTTAGTCAGACATGGCTGAAAGGCCAATAAAATAAAAATAAATATATGTAGATGTATAATATTATGAGATTTAAGCTATTTAAACTTAACATTTGTGGTTTCTTTTATAATTTGTAATCGTTCTAGAATGAAAAAAGCATAATTTATATCTATTTCCTAATTGTTTATGGTGTTTACAAGATCGGTCAAATCGACCAAATCCATTCAGAGATACAATAGTGAAAACTACAGAAAGTTTTTTTCTAAAAAAAAATTTTCATAATTATCTGGAGGTTATAAAGATTTTGCATGTAAAATTTGAGAATGTTCTGTGGTTGAAAATAATTTTAACCTTAAAACCAAAATTACTTTGTATGTTGGATAGTCAACACTTGAAAAGAAAAAAATGCATGAGCAAATCATTACTTAAAAAATCTTAACTTAATAAAAGCTTGGGTATGAAAACCTTGTAATGTTTTCTGATAATTTGCAAAATTTCGTGATGATACGTATAAAAAAAAGTATTAAAAGTTATAGCATGAAACTATAACAAGCACAAAATGGTTACAAGATCAAACACGGGGAATTGAATTTTACCCAACTCCTCCAGGGTTCAACATTAATGTAAGACCTAAATTGCCCTAAACATACTTTCAATTGCACTGAGATTATTAGTGGAAAGAATGCTTGGCCTTTCAAAATTTTTTGTTTGTTTACTACTAAATTAATACAATACTGGATTTTCAACAGTCAATAGGTAATTTTTTTACTAATAAATTAATACAACACTAGATTTAACAGTAAGTAGGTAATTTGTTTACTAATAAATTAATACAACACTAGATTTAACATTAAATAGGTAATTTGTTTACTAATAAATTAATACAACACTAGATTTAACAGTAAATAGGTAATTTGTTTACTAATAAATTAATACAACACTAGACTTAACAGTAAATAGGTAATTTGTTTACTACTAAATTAATATAACACTCGATTTTCAACAGGAAATAGGTAATTTAACGAGCTTTTGCACATGAAATGTGCTCAAACTGACAAGTGAGCATTTCTCTTTACAAATATACACTGTTGAACTTTAACTAATAACAATAAAACACTACTTTAGTTCTACTCTTACATGTCAACTTTTCAAATGAACAATACTTCTCTTAAAAAGACTCAAACTCTCTCTTCTGCTTTCCTTCTTATTTGTTGTTGCTTTCAACATTTTCTGATTTTAAATATCTAAGCAGTGAGTAATCAGTTGCTTGATCAGGCTGCCATTTAGGGAATTCTTAATAAGGTTATGAACAACATTAATGCTGATTGATTAAATACCCCAATCCCAAGAAACGCAAGTTTCTATAATACCCATAACATAGCACTGCCTTTTAGAAAACTCGGTCACTACACGAAACACATTACTACATATTTGTAAAAATTACATTAGCTTGCACAGCCCTTAAGCTCTTACCGCTAAACCAAAAAGTATTTTACTGATATTCCGATAGAACATAGAAACAATTTTCATTTTTCCAACTTCTTCAAGTTTTTAACAACTTTAGTGCTGACTGGAGACTGAAAACAGTAACTTAAGAACAAAATTTTGTTTGTTTGTTTCAGTCACAGTTTTGTTAGGAGCACAATTTATAGGATGTTCAACACAATAGAACACAAAGTACTGAACACACCATACAAGGTAGATATGGATAATCAACCCAAGTAACTCGATTCAGATGCTGTATTAATTTCAGTCACAGTTTTGTTACGAGCACAATTTATAGGATGTTCAACACAATAGAACACAAAGTACTGAACACACCATACAAGGTAGATGTGGATAATCAACCCAAGTAACTTGATTCAGATGCTGTATTAAGTCAAAGTCTAAATATCCACACGATTTTCAGACATGTATCCTGAAACTCCTCAAAGTAACTAACCAGTTAATCACCTTTACTTGCCTACTAGCAAAATGCCTTTGAACTTACATTGACAGGAAAAAATGTTACATTTGCAATTTAAACTACACAAATACATCTAATTAAAGTTATGTTTGAATTGAAAGAGTTTAGCCAGCAAATGATGAGAATGAGAAGGTTTGTTTTATCCCTCACTTCATCCTCTTTTATTACCTAACAAATCTTGAATAATCCAAGTGTAAGTTATAAATGAGAATTTGTTTTTCCTTAATAGAAATTTGGATGTTGTATTGTTAACACGAGCCAGCCCTGGATCTTCATGTGGATGATAATAATAAAAAAGAAGCAATTCTAGAAAGGTATGGGTTGTTTTTACTAGACAAAAGAGGACATTTGGCACTATTTGAGGTCAAGGTCACTAGATCAGACCTGTGACCAGATGAGCCAACAAGAAGTTGACTTGTAAATGTAAAGTAAAATGATGAAGCAATGAAACATGCTTGAAATGTTCTACATGTAGTTCTGAATGTGAGGGTTTAAGTGTAGCAACTAAGCTAAACTTATCAGAACATATCCAAACCGATTCGAGATACCAGCTGAATCAGAGATTCGTCAATTAATTACTGCAATGATAGTGAAACATCAAATAATGTATACAACAGTACTGTTATCTTCAAAAAGGGTGATTGAATCATATATAAAAAATCATTAGTTTCAATACTGCATGTAACAACACAATAAAGCCCCAAAATACAGTGTTGAAGTTGAAGCAGAGATGATTTACCTAGTGACTCAAATTAAAGATGCCATTTCTGCAATGAAGAGTAATTATAAGAAGGATGGTATAATGTCTGGTCTGGTACCATCATAGTATAACCTATATAGATTTCAACATGTCATATCTTCCTTAATATTTAGTGTTTTTTCGTTTTAGAGTTCTACCGAACTTCAATCATCGAGATCTATTGAAATAATGCTAAATCACCAGTTTCCAGAATGTCCCCCTGTTCACCATCTTAGGATTGGTACTAAAAGATGCTGAGCTGGCTCATGTGACAGGTGTTAAAATATAAGAATTTTTGAGTTGCTTGAGATACCTCAGTACAGTTTTCTAATCTATAATTTGTTCCCAATGTGGTTTTACACCATTAAATAGAACTCTGCTCTGTGTTAGCATGCAGTTTACAGACTTGTTTACGACAATACATACTATAAAAATCAATCCAAGATATCTTCACTGAAGATGTCCTTTTTTTTTTTAAGTAACAACATACATATAGCACTTGATCTTCTTACTTTCTCACTGTGGGGCCCTACTGCCCAACCCTACACACGTAGGCATGGTTCACTCACTGTGGGGCCCTACTGCCCAACCCTACACACGTAGGCATGGTTCACTCACTGTGGGGCCCTACTGCCC